CATTTCGCCTCATTGCATTGCCCCAAAGGCTTGGTCCCACAGCCAGGTCTTCACCATCCTTCTGAAGGACAGGAGGGAGGGAGCTGATCTGATATTGCCAGGAAGGGAGTTCCATAATCAGGGAGCAATCGCTGAGAAGGCCCTGTTTCTCATCCCCGCCAAACGCGCCTGTGATGGTGGTGGGACTGAGAGCAGGGCCTCCCCAGAAGATCTTAGTTTTCGCAGTGGTTTGTAAAGGGAAATGCATTCAGACAGGTAAACTGGGCTGGGACCATTTAGGGCTTTATGGCCAAAGCCAGCACTTTGAATTGTGCCCAGTAGCAAACTGGCAGCCAGTGGAGCTGACGTAACATGGGAGTTGTGTGCTCCCTGTATGCCACCCCAGTTACTAACCTGGCTGCCTCTCGTTGTACTATTTGAAGATTCTGATCTGTCTTCAAAGGCAATCTCATGTAGAACGCGTTGCAGTAGTCTATCCTAGACTACTGCAACAGGACTACTGCAACTACTGCCAAGACAACAAAGACCTCTACTACTGAGTTTAAAGGTGCCTAGAGTGCTTAGATCATGAGTTAGGGATCATAAGGATTTTCTGGGCTCCTCTTGTACTACAATTCCCAGTATTCATAGAAAACAGAGCAAATAGGAATGCTGGGATATGTAGTCTTAAGAGCATCTAGTGGGCTACATGATTCCAAGTCATGCAAGCTTAACTATGAATATTAAAACAACTATTTGAAAAGTGAGCAGGGTGAATCAGAACATCATGCCCGCCTCATATGCTCCATTTGTCAAAAGTGTCACTTCAAACCTGCTTAGAACTTGACAGATACTTAGTGTTGGTTAAAAATATTTTAAAAAGAAATGTGAGAAGCTAAACAAACTTTTGATTTGGCACAGTGAGTATGCTGAAATACCAGATTAACTCATTATGATGTGGAAGATATACAAACCCAAGCAGGTGCAAGTGCAGGCAAGGCATACACTTAAATCTAAAGATTAACCTGAGAACATTTTACTTTGACTTTTTGAATGCACACTACTGGAACAAATGAAATTGCTTTTCAAGCGTATTTGGCATGCAGTGTAAGTATTTGGTACACAATACAGCAATAGAGGAATAAAGTTAATAATAATTTCTAAGCCTACTTATGGGAAGAGCAGGTTATTCAATACTACTGTGTTGCTTATGTGTATTTAAAATAGTACCTATGCGATTATGTGCCAACTCAATATATGAAAACAAAAACCTATAAAATGGGTGGACAGTTGTGGCCCTCAGGCTGATATTTGCATACAACTCTGTTAATTGTAGACAGGATAGCCAATTGTGGGGGATAATGGGATTTACAGTCCAAAAACACCTGAGGAGCCATCATTGCCTTTATGTGGCTATAATGAACATGTTCTCTATGCTTATTTTATATATACGTAATTTTAGATCCAAATTTTATAGCATTGGAGTCTTGATGTATTACTGTGTCCTTTTCCAGTTAACAATGTGAATGAAAAATAGGATAAGAGGGCATGCAAGTGCAGTCCTCCTCCACATTTTTAGGTTTAACCTTCGTGGATTTCATTATTCATGGGTGTCTTTAGGGTGGACGGAAGAAGTGGGATGGAAGGAGGAGAGCGAAGAGAATTGATGTGGGTGGGGCAATGGTGGTAGTGGAACAAATGAGTGTGCATACCTGAATGGGCCCAGTCATCTGCCAATATAGGTTCTTTTGTGTGTGTGTGTTAAATATGGTTTGGGGAGGCCTAGAGAGATTTGCCATTTTCCCACTTTTATGTGGATCTTGCATCCCTAAATACTGCAAAAATAGTGGGACGACTCTATCTAAAAGTAGCACAGCTTCTTAGAAGTCATTCTTTAAACATTGATGCTACGAAGAGAAGTTACATTTTATCCACATGTAACATTAGTCAGTAGTCTTCTTGAAAAAGAAAATCACTTTTGATTTTTGCTCAGTGAGTGATTTTTGCTCACTGCAGAAACAATTGGCAGTGCAGTTGAACTTAAAGAGGAAAGGCTGCTTGAGGGTAGGGCAGTTTATTCCAAGGAAAGGGGAAGTAATTTGTTGCCATCTGTTTCTGTCCTAGTAACCTCTTCTCGTTGATTTGTCTTTATTGCAAAGATAGGGTCCTGTCCACCAGATTTTTGTGTTTAGACGCAGGCGAGACCCGGAGGCCAGGGAGGAGGAGTTGCAGTAGTCTATTGGGATACCATCCACTTGACTACCCCGTTCCACAGACCACCCCGCTGCTCAACGGTCTTCCTGCCTGAGCTAGCCGGAGTGGTCTCAGGCCTGGTGTTGGAGTCCTAATGGCTAATAGTGCTGAGGGACTTTAACATACATGCTGAGACCACTCTGTCAGGAGCGGCTCAGGATTTCAAGGTCATGATAACAATGGGTGATCACTATGGCCTCAGCCATAGTGCTGGACACACCCTGGATTTGGTCTTCTATTTGGGACAAGGTGACAGTATTCTGGAGGAACTGTCCACGGTTCCTTTGTCATGGACCAATCATTATCTGGTCAAGTTTAGACTTACTGGGGGTCTAAACATCTGTAGGGGTGGAGGACTGATTAGGATGGTTCGTCCCAGGAGAGTTATGGATCTGGATGGATTCCAGATGCCTTTTGGGGATTTCCCTGCCTCCTCAGTAGGTTATTCTGTCGAGGCTTTGGTGGAACTCTGGAATCGGAAGGTGACCAGGGTGGTTCACACAATCACTCCTGAACGTCTCCTTTCACAAAGGAGAGCCAAGTCAGCTCTCTGGTTCACCTGAGAGCTGGCAGTAATGAAACAAGTGAAAGTTGGCAGAAATCTTGAAGTGAATCTGACCAAACATAGTCTAGAGTGTATTTAAAAGCCTATTCCACAGCAATGAAGGCAACGCAGAAATCTTTCATGGCTGCCAACATTGCATCTGCATAAAACCGCCCGGCCGAGTTGTTTTGAGTGGTCGGATGACTGTTACACTCTCTCCCTCAGGTGGGGGACCCTGATCCCTCGACCGCTTGTTGTGAAGAATTTGCAAGGTTCTTTGCAGATAAAGTTGATCAGATTTGTTCAATTTACTCACCAGCATTGATGCAAGTTCCATTGATGTAATCCAGGCTCCTGCTTGTCCCATTTTATTGGATTCTTTTCAATCTGTTCCCCTGATGACGTGGACAAGATCTTGGGAAAAATTAGGGTGACCTTGACCCTTGCCCATTCTGGCTGATTAAACAGGCCAGAGGGGGACTGTAAGAGTGAGTGAAAGTGCTGGTAAATGCCTCCTTACTATAAGGCAAAATTCCATCTAGCCTTAAGTCGCCCTGAATCCCCGAGATGGGGTGGGATATAAATGAAGTTTATTAATTGGTTATTGGGTTACAGTTAAACATAAACATAAAACCTAGCTTCCTATTTTAATTCTCTCTTTGCTGTGAAGTTCTTGCAGACTGCAGATTCTTTTTTTATATAGACAGGATTTTCTGTGTATAAGCACTTATTATAAATTGCAAGTGCCATAATATATAACCTCCTTAACATGTGGAACATATTTGAGTTCTCTAGTTTTAAATTAGGAGGAAAATACTTACTTAAAGAATATTTTGCAGGTTTGTTGTCATCCGTTTCTGTGAAACTTACTGTAATAAAACATGTGAGAAAAAAACCACATGTGTGTATGCATAATAAAGTAATAATTTGCAATATTAGTCAATAGGCAGTTTGTAATGAAAGCCCAAAGGGTCACTAGTGGGGTGGATGTGGAAATGAGTGTAGGAAAAAGCAGTTGACACTACTCTATGAAGATGCTTTGGGGGATATAAAATTGGATTTCCTATATTTCTACGCATCTTGGCTAATTACTGTCAGCTAAGGAGAGTGACAGCCTAGTTTCCAACTTCAGATTCTGATTTTGGTTCCTCTCGAGTCCCTAAAGGAAGATAATCTGAGTACATGCATTTCACAGTGGCCAAAAGAGGAAATCATACAAATGCACACCAGGTGGGTGCAGGTAATCTAGGTGAGATCATCATTTGTCTCCGCACACCAGCAATTCTCTCATAGCGATTTGGGAGTTAACTCAATTAGTGGTCAGATGAGCAAGAAAGGCTCTCAGCATGAGCTGGGATGATAAGCAAAAGCAAAAAGGCGGACAGTCATTTTATTTTAGAAAAGATTTGCCCCTATTTTACATCAGACTTACTAGCAAAGAGGTCTGGCACAGAAAGATCTACAGAGTGATAAGGTAATTGGCTGAACAACAGATAATTTTGGCCTTAAAGGCACACAAAGTTGGTTTGGTCAAAGGAATACTTGGTGACTCAATGGTATTAAGCTGAACGGTAGCACACAGTTCTTTGCTTACAGAAAGCTTTCTTCAATTTAGCAGTAGAGTATTTGGCTCTGCAACTGTCCTTCCAACAGAACTGGATGGAATCAGTGATTTGATTCAGTGTGGTCTTTGGCTTGTTTTATACTCCCTCACTTTCAAGAATTTGAACGGTTTCTTAGTCGACCCTCCACATTTGCAAGTTTGTGAATTTGACTTTTTACAAATTTGAGATCTCTCTAGAAATCTCTAGGTCCTCCAGTGCACCTTTATGATCAACTTCCATGGGATAGCGGATAGGTAGAAGTCGACCAGATACTTGCACTGTCTGTACTTTTCCTTGGCTGTTGGCGCATTCATTGTTTTTACTGACTTTTTAAAAAAAATATTTTGTTATCTACTGTTCTCTTTCTCCTATTGCATTTTTTTTAGCTTTAAGTTGTACAAGCTATTTTGAGAAATTTATTTGGAAATAGTCTAAGAAGTGGCATATGTTTTCTAATGAATCACGTTCTTCTTGATCACTTTCATCTTTCTCTCTCTCCATGTATTGGAAACATTATGGTTGGTCAAACAGTTGTTGGGTGTTTCTTCTTTAAATGTGAATTTAAAATGTGTATATCATTTTCTTTCTTTCCTCTTTCTGTCTTTTTCTTTTTCTGGCAGGCAAGGTCTATAGAAATTTTAGAATACTCATCAGACAGTGAAAATCTAGAAGAATGCCAAATAGAACCCGAAACTGCCAGTCTAGGTTATTCTAAGAAGTTCCAGATCAAATTTGGAGCAGGGACTGAAACAGATACAGGAAGATCAGCAAGTGACTGGTTGAAATCTGCTCAGAGCCTTTTGCAGACCCCTAAGAAAAAGGCTATTAAGAGTTCAAAAACCCCAGAAGATTCTGCCAAAAAAAGAAAATTACTGAGGTATGTATCAAGCCTTTTAAATGTATCCTGTCAATAGTTCTCCTTCTGTCTACCCTGGTAAAATTGGTTTTGAGGATTAAATCAGGGAATAGAAACAGTGTCAATGTGCAGGGCTGGATTCTTCTTACCACAGTTCTTCCCTTCTGAGACCAATAATTCCCTGATCTGACCAATTATCTGCAAAATGTCATCTGAAGCACTTTACCCTACCTGTAGGGTCAATCAACCCTACCTCACCCTCTAAAACCTCTATTCAGACTCATTTTATTGCTGGCACACCCAGTGTTTTAAATAGGCCCTGCCCACGGTGTTGGATCCTTGTGTTTCTTAATATGTTGTGTTTTTATTGCTGATATGTTCTTTAAAATGGTTTCATATTGTATTTGTATTTTTATTTTTTGTTTATATCATTGTTGTGTTGGTTTATACTGACGTATTGTATTGTTTGAGCTTGGCCTCATGTAAGCTGCCCTGAGTTCCCTTGGGGAGATGGTGACGAGGTATAAATAAAGTTGTTGTTGTTGTTGTTGTTGTTGTTATTATTATTATTTTCTTGGTGCTTTGCCTGAGGACCCACCTTCATATGTGGCGGGACAGAAGAAACTAAATGTTGTCTGTTGGCCTTGCAAACACCAAGCAGAGTCCTGATCTTATACCTTCAAATTTTATTTGTTTCTTTGTTTATTTGTTAACCTTATTTCTACCTCACCTGGAATACCGTGTCCAGTTCTGGGCACCACAATTCAAGGATATTGATAAGCTGGAACAAGTCCAGAGGAGAGTGACTTAAATGATCAAAGGTATGGAAAGCATACCTTATGAGGAGCAGCTTAAACTGTGTGTTTAGCCTGAAGAAGAGAAGGATGGGAGGAGACTTGATTGACATGTTTAAATATTTGAAAGGACGTCATAAGGAAGAGGGAGCAGGCTTGTTTCCTTCTGCCCAGAAGACTAAGATTGGAGCAGTGGGTTCAAATTACAGGAAAGGAGATTCCATCTGAACATTAGGAAGATCTTTCTGACCATGAGAACTGTTCAGAAGTGGAATTCTCTGCCTCAGAGTATGGTGGAAGCTCCTTCTTGGAGGCTTTTAAACAGAGGTTGGATGTCCATCTTGGCAGGGGGTTGTGCTGGATGGCCCATGAGGTCTCTTCCAACTATGATTCTGTTATTCTAAGGGTACTTTGTTCGTGCTTTTCCTGCATAGCAGGAGGTTGGACTAGATGGCCCATCTGGTTTCTTTTAACTCTGTTATTATATGATTTTACCCCACCTTTCTCCCCATTGGAACTCAAGGTGCCTTCTGTAGAGAAGTGTTTATTATAAAGGGTTTATTGTACTGTGTTTAAACTGTATTTATGTTTTACATGCGTGGCCATGGCCTAGCTGTGAGAGATAGGTTGCCATGGTGACAAGGCAGAAGAGAAGGTGGGCGGAGCTTAAGGAGAAAAAGGTTTGAAAGTAACAGTTAATAGTCAGTCAGGAGGATGAGACCCTGAGAAGAGGAGTGGAGTCAGTTAGGGCTCTGTGTGGTGAAGCAGTATAAATTCAGTTAGTTCTTAGCATCTGTGAATATTTCTTCAGCAAGGGAGCTGAAGGTGAAACCTTGTTAGATTGCTTGTGTTAAAAAGAATCTAACAAAGGGGGTTTTAGGGATCCCAGTAGTGAAAGACTGGAGATCGGTGGTTTGATCCGGTATAGGACAAACAGAGTGAATATTCACAACAGGGAACACTGAAATAATAAAGTACTTCACTGAAGAAGGAGTTTAAAGGATTGTAACATCAGAAGCCTGAATGTATCTCTACCAAGCCATATTGTAACCAACAAGCTTGTGCCAAGTTCAACATCTCAGTATTGCAACAATTACGCTCTGTTAACAATAAACTTGTTCTATATAGCAATAGTCAAAAAGGTAAAAAGCATTCAAATAGAGAAAAGGTGATGTCCACAAAATCAGCAAATAACCCAAATCCAAGTTAGGAGACAAATCAGTCCCAAAATCCAAGAAGCAAATCCATAGGAAGAAAGTCTTTCTTTTCCAAAGGTGGCAAATGCAAAAGTCCCTTGAAGAAACAGGAGCCAACTTGAATCAAATAATCTAAATGCAGTAGCTTGAAATCACAAACACCAGCTTACAAAAATCTCAGCATGTGCATGAATACAAAGCAAGATTATACATGATTCCCCGCATGAACAAGCAAGCATGAAGCAGGCATGAAAACCAAATGTTGGACTTACTGAAGAGTATAGACTCACAGGCCCTATATTTATTCAGAAAGCCATGGCAAAAGCATTCCCTTTCCCTTGGGAAACCTCTCCCTGACCCCCTGATTCTCTTAATCTTTCAGACCGTCTTCTGCCCCCTTCCAGGTATGATGATGATTGATTTGACTTCTCCTATCAAAGACTGGACTACTGCAATGCACTCTACGTGGGGCTGCCCTTGAAAACGGCCCAGAAATTTTAGATGAGCGGCAGCCAGGTTGTTAACTTGTGCTCCTTACAGGGAGAGGTCATCCCTCCTGTTCAAGGAGCTCCACTGACTGCCATTCATCTACCAGACCCAATTCAAGGTGCAGGTTCTTACCTACAAAGCCCTGAACGGTTTGGGACCCGCCTACCTGTGTGACCGCATCTCTGTATACGAACCCACACGATCTCTTCGTTCATCTGGAGAGGCCCTGCTCTCGATCCCACCAGCATCGCAGGCACGATTGGTGGGGATGAGAGAGAGGGCCTTTTCGGTAGTGGCCCCTCAACTCTGGAACTCACTCCCTAAGGACATCAGGCAGGCCTCAACCCTGGGGTCTTCAGGAGGAGCTTGAAGATGTGGTTGTGCGAGTGTGCCTTCCCGGAATAATGATCCCATAGCACTTTGTCCCTCCAAAGCACTTTATACTTTTAGGTCTGCTCGTATGTCTTCCACAAACGCCACTATCGCCTTTTCGTCCATGCCTCAGCACTTTTCCAATTTTAATTTTTACATTTGGCCTTCCCACAATTTTTAATTGTATGTTGTCTTATTGATAATGTTATATGTTTATCGTTTATGTTTTATTTTAATTGCTTGTATTGTTGTATTATTGCCTGCATTGTTGTGTTTGGGCTTGGCCTCATGTAAGCCGCACCGAGTCCCTTGGGGAGATGGTATCAGGGTACTAATAAAGTGTTGTTGTTGTTGTTGTTATTATTATTAAGAGTGTCTGGTCGTCCCTCAGCTTGCCAATTAGTACATTCCTTTCACTATCACTATCTGGCCTTGGCCGTTCAACCTTTTCCTCGGCCCCTTTTTCTGTTAGCATCGAAGCATCTTTGCCTTGGGAACCAACGATCCCAGAATCCTCTGGTTCACTCTGGCTAGAACCAGATACTGTGTCAAAGAAGAGTTCAGATTCAGAGCCTCAAGAGAAACAATGTTTGTTCATCTTGTCAGGCAGCCCATCTAAAGATTACTTAGAAACCATTTCTATTAACAACAAAGACATGAAAGGACTTCGAGATACAGGCTCTGAAGTATGTATAGTGCATCCAGAAATAATACCTCAGGAATTTCAGCGGCCTACCTCTGAAATAAGATTAAAAGGTTTAGGACCTGCGATACCAACAGCAGTAGTGACTTTGCCAATAGAATATGGAGGATGGAAGGGTATGTGGGATTTTGCAGTCAGTCCTGACATACCATACAGATGTTTAATTGGAAATGATTTGGCTAAGAAGATTGAAAGCTGGAGGATGACGTGTGAAGAGGAAGAATATAACAACGAAAGCCATGATCAAAAAGCCATGTGTTTTGCCATACAACAGGATGGGGAGGAGAGTCCGGAATCCAGCGCTACGGTTGCTGAGCTTGTTAAGAAGACGGGAGGAATTGAAGAAATTCGGCAGGAACAAGGAGCCGATGAATCTCTTAAACCTCTATTCGCTTTGGCTCAAAACCCCACAATATTGGCAAAAGAACAGCCCTCCGAGTTTGTGTTAAAGAATGGTGTTTTATATAGAAAAACCAGGAATGTGGAGTCAACAGAAGAATCAGTGACAAGTAGTCAAATTGTAGTGCCTCAAAGTTTTAGAGAACAGCTGATGAGGGTGGCACACGAAAACCCTCAAGGTGGACATTTGGGTGTGAGGAAAACCACAAAGAGAATCACTAAGAACTTTTATTGGCCTGGCGTGTTCCAGAAGATCAAAGAGTTTTGCCAGTCTTGTGACATCTGCCAAAGATTGAGTACTGGAAGGGATAAAATTAAAGCTCCTATGATCCCTATGCCAATAATTGGAGAACCATTTTACAGAGTGGGCATTGACATAGTGGGTCCTCTTTGTAAACCAAGCAGACGTGGTTACCGATACATTTTAACCATGATTGACTACGCCACAAGATATCCAGAGGCTGTAGCTCTAACTAACATCGAGACAACAACGATTGCAAATGCACTGTTATCCATTTGGGGAAGAACTGGTTATCCTAGAGAATTGGTTTCAGATTTGGGAACCCAATTCACTTCCAGACTTATGTCGAAATTGCTTGAGTTATGTGGTATCAGACACCTGACTTCAACAGCTTATCATCCACAGACAAATGGACTAGTTGAAAATATGAACAAGACTTTAGTCAAAATGATAAAGTCTTACAGTCAAGAGAAGCCATACGACTGGGACGTCAAATTGCAACAACTGTTATTCGCCTACAGGACCGTCCCTCATGACAGTACTGGCTACAGTCCATTTGAATTGCTATATGGAAGGAAAGCTCATGGTCCATTAGACCTGATAAAGGAATATTGGGAGGAAAGTCCGGCAACAGATCCAGTTCCAGTGTCGGAGTATTTAAAGGATCTTCAATCAACAATGCAACTGGCTAGGGACATTGCACAAGAACATTTGCTTGCGGCTCAGCAGAGACAAAAAGACTATTATGATTCTACTGCTAAACCAAAGATCTTCAACATCGGAGATGAAGTTTTATTTTTATCTCCCAACAAAACCAACAAACTTCAATTGGATTGGTCGGGACCCTGGAAGATCATCAGAAAACACAACCAAATAAACTATGATATTTATGATGAACATTCCAATGTAGAAAGAAGAGTCCATATAAACATGTTAAAGCCTTATGTTGAAAGGTCTGCTAATGTATGTTTTGTTGTTTCGGAGGAAGAATCCGGTCCCTTTTCTTTTTGGGAGGGTGATCGTGAACAGTACAAAAATTTGGATCGGGTAGAAATGAACATAGAATTGTCCCAACCACAGAGAAGAGAGGTTGTGAAAGTTTTGAGTAAATATAAAGACATATTTTCAGATTTGCCAGGAAAGGTCCAGGGAGTCCAGCATCAAATAAACACCGGTGATGCAACTCCCATAGTATCTCCACCCTACAGGGTCACGGGGAGAATTAATGAGTGTATTGAAAAGGAGATTAAAGAAATGTTGGACCTAGGTATTATTGTTCCATCAGTTAGCTCTTGGGCTTCACCCATAGTGTTGGTACAGAAGCCAGACAAGACAATTAGATTTTGCGTGGATTATAGGCGGTTAAATAAAGTAACCCAGACAGATACTTACCCTATGCCACGTTTAGACGATCTGCTAGAAAGGATGGGGAAGGCCAACTTTATTAGTAGTATAGATCTGACTAAAGGATTCTGGCAAGTGCCCATGGCACCACAGGATCGACACAAAACCGCCTTCCGAACCCAAAGTCGGTTATTTGAATTTTCTGTCCTCCCTTTTGGGCTAAAAAATAGCCCAGCCACATTTCAGAGATTAGTAGACAGTGTTTTAAGTGGGCTGGGGTCTTTTTGCGTGGCCTATATCGATGATATAGGGATTTTCAGCGATTCCTGGGAAGCTCACCTTGAACATTTGGATCTGGTGTTAAGCAGGTTGAGAGAAGCAGGGTTAACTATTAAGGCTTCTAAGTGTAAGATAGGATACAATGTTACTAAGTATTTAGGACATTTAGTGGGAGGAGGTCATATTCGACCTGACCCTACTAAAGTGGCAGTTATTCACCAGTGGCCAGTGCCCAAAACGAAAAAACAGGTTAGGGCATTCCTTGGATTGGCTGGATACTATCGCAAATTTATCCCATCTTTTAGTAATTTGGCGGCCCCTCTTTCGGATCTTACCAAAAAGAAGAACCCGAACCAGGTAATTTGGACTCCAAATTGTCAAACTGCCATGGATCAATTGAAGAAATCAATTACATCGGAAAGTTTCAGGTTTCAAGCACTTTATTAGGGAAAGATACAAAGTCAAAGGAGAGGGGAAGTTACCTGGAGTTGCAGGCATTCCTGGTCTTGGAGCTAGCAGCTGGGGCGCATTCCATCTGCTGGCCTCAAAGCTTGGCCCAGGAACTGCGGAACTCCCTGCTGCAGTTCACACTAATGTAAAGGCGGGGCTACAAGATGCGCTCGCCGTCAGGAGGAAGAAAGAAGAACTCTTCTCTGTTTCCATTGACCACCTTCGTTACCATTGAATGGCCTTGCAGGTCCAAAGCCTGGCTGCTTCCTGCCTGGCTTCCCACAGTTATATTAACCCCATTTGCCTGCTTTCCCACAGGCCTCACCCCTCCGAGGATGCCTGCCATAGAGAGGTGTGGGCGGGAATGCTTCTGGAACATGGCCACGCAGCCCGGAAGACTCACAGCAACACAGAGATTCCGGCCATGAAAGCCTTCAGCTACAAAATGCAGAATATCAATAGTTGTTAGTGTGAAATCTCAGTGAATGCCAAACCCAGAGACTCCGTGGCCAGGACTGGGATTTCCTCTGGATGAGAAGAGGCCTCTCCCTTTCCAGGAGACCTTCTCTCGTGGCCTGGCCAGGCTCTGAGTGCTCAGGAGGCGAGGAAGGGGATGCGGGGAGAGACCCAGGGCACAGAGTTCCACCATTTGGAAGCCCCCGAAAGCCTCAGGAGATACCTGGCAAGGGAACCCCAAACCTTTCACAAATTTATTGAATTATATTTTGGGGTGTGCTGTATTCCTAGTGTCTCAAATGTATGGTGAAGGCCCCTGGTCCCCTTCCCTTCTATGTACATCCAACCCTGGGAACGGAGAGTCCTCTACCCTCAGTAAACCTCCCTCTAGCGATCTCCCAGCCTAGACATGGAATCCCTCTTGTGTGAGAGTGACAGATAGACAATCCCTTTATCAGTTGGGCTGTTTTGCACTCTTTACCTGGCCAGGTGTGTCCAGAGGTCTAGGATTCCCACAGATGCAAAGGCTAAGCAAAGGTGAATAAATGAGCCTTTTGAGTGGATACCCGGCCCTCTGGCTCTGTGGCATGATCACCTTTTGTGTTCTGTGCCTGGCACTGTTGCCTTCTTCGGAATGAGACATTAAGTCAATCAGGGAATCACCTGCACACCCAC